CAATCTTATTTACGCGGAAAAATTCGATTTCAATACACTTGCAACCGCAAGTGTAGAAAAAATCAATTCAAATTTCAAACATTTTGAATGTTTGCATGACCAAAATTACGAAAATGACTGATATAAACGATCAAAATCCCGTTCATCTGTACCAGGGAACACCGTACTTCGAGACTCTTTTGTACAAAAGAAATGTACAAAAACGTTTGCCAAAATTTGGGTCTTTTGGGTACTTCGAAAGAGTTCAAAAATTATGATTGGTCCGCCCTAAATGTTCAGACAAACTTTTGAAACTTTTCGAAATCCGCCTGTTACGAGATTCCATTTTTTGCTCTGGTTTAAATACAATACGCTAACATGGTCATCAAAATAAGCAAGAGAAAACAAACGAGATAAGCTATGGAATTTTGAGATCGTTCTCAAACTTCTTTTAAACACCAATTAAGGGATTTGTTCTACTAGCATCACATTACGCGGCTTTACATAAGAATATATTGAAACATCGGTGAACAGATACGTAGCTCATCTATTAAACATAAGACGTCTAACTTGGAACACTATCGTTTAATCTAAAGTCAAATTTATATTACTGATCCGACCGTTGAAAATGGGGAGGAACTTTGTAGTCGGGTGTGTTATAGTTTTTTTGTTTGCACGCAAAATCGGGTACCACAAATAATCATTGGACTGGGTCGAGGGATAGAACTAACTTGAAAACTACGAAGGTAATTTGTGTTTTTCTTGAAACGACCGCAACATAGTTCTCTAAGCCGATAAAAATTATTTCACTGAGCGGAAGTCAAGGTCAGCGAAACTACAAACTGAAGGAGTAAACCAAACACTAACGGGAGCATTAAAAAAACTCGCACAGCAGTAAACGATTACAAGATGAGACAACTAAGCCGACGAAAGATAAGCATACTAATCATTTGCCGACAATTCTAATTGAAACATAATAATTCCCGTTTCTAAAAAAAGGTCCTGGTCAGATTCGAACCAAGGAACTTAGCCGTCCCAGATATATTCCTTACCTCCAGGCTAAGTGGGCCGGGAACGCTAACAAATTTGAATACATTATGAAACAAGGTGCCTCTAGAGATGAGTCCAGAAGATTCCAGTGGAAAAAAATGTTTAGGGAAAAAAGTCTTGTACCCGATTGTAGTACCCTTGCTTATCGCAAGAGTAATATTATTAATATAAACATTTCCGTCTATTTCCAAGCTAAGCCAAAAACTAATTACATCAGCTCAAATAATTTAAAAAGTCAAATAATTCTGAAAGGTGTGAAAACCTCTGTACATCATTCTGATAGATCAATTATTTTACTATAAGACTTACTAGCTCTCTATTCAAGTTACTTTAAAAGCAATCGAGCTACTTAACTCAAATTATTCTAGCGAAATTTCTGCGTTCTAAAGGATTGTCTTAGTTATAAGCAAGAAAAACAACTGAATAGTTGTTGATCAGTGAAAATGATTTGAGACTTCAAATCACAAATGCTTTCTGATCAAGACTCAAGGCTCAAAATATTGATCACAGTGTGTGAAATTAGTCTTTTACAGACACTTTATAAAAGATAAAAAAACAAAGCTTCACAAAATACAATCTTTCTCAAAAAGTTACATTTATTTCTCCGAAATTCCACAAAATCGGTTGTTCAACCAATACAGGCTTAAAAAGTTGAAATAGTGAATTAGACGATAGGCATACTCAAGAAAACAGCATCATAAGAAAAAGATAATTAATCATAAACCGAACTGAAAAACTATCGGGCATCGTTTCTATAGGTTAAGCGAATCAGCTAGAGAAAAGGCTGGTTGAGCGTTACACATATGATCAGAAAAAAATCAATCGGAATTCGAACATAATCTTACTTTTTCCAAATGTTTTTTCTACATAGCTGATAGAGTAAAAAAAATACATTGTTTTAAAAAACTTGAATCATGCTACAATATTGAAGCGCATTCAAAAATTAGAGGATCATACCGAATCAATTACCGAGTATCGTTTTTTAAAATTTCAGAAAATTCAGAAATTCAAAGGATTAAACAAAAAAGCATAAGAGTGAGGTGATCATAGCTTAAACTTTTTTTACAATTTATATGATGATTTAAAAATCCAGCCATTCCAAAAAATCAGATGACCATATTAAAAAAGTAACGAAACAACACGATTGAAAGTCAAATGAGAAAAAAACAATGAAATAAAAAATTAACAATTGACTGCAAACCACATATTGTGAAAGACAAAAACCCCTGCACAGCTTTCTCTAAAAACAGCGAAAACATCACTGAAAAAGAAAAAAAAGAAAACAATATTTAAATTACATGATACATATTTTTTTTTAAAAATCATTGAATAACTTTTCGTTGCATAACAGAAATTGATAAATCATTGACTTTTTTTTCTGAAAAAGGGTTACTGGGTGCGAAGCTTTTACACACAAAAAAGAGTCCAAAGTTTTTCTTTCAAAAAACAAAAAGGAGACAAATTATTGCCAAAATTGTAGAAAAAATGAAAAGGGAATACATGGATGAAAGAAACAAATGAGGGGAAAACAATTTAATTAAAATTACCCTGCGAACCCTTTTTGGAAAACCTAATAAACGAATCATTGGTAAACTTTTGTCACAAAGAAAAAAACAATCAGCAAATTGATTGGGCAACGTTTTTTTCTCAATTCTAAATCATTCAGCATGTGACAAAAAGAATCACACATTTAAGAAAAATAGATTTTGAAAGGAAAAAGTAAATGAATTAGAAACCTGATTAAAGAGTCAATGAAGTAAATGAATTAAAAAAACCTAAATTATTTAAACCAGTTTAAAAGCTTTTAACAGAAGGCTGCTAATGTCAACTCTGACATTACACATCCTTTCGTGGTCTTGTGCTGTCATTCACCATTTGAAACGGTAAAATCAACTTTTTTCCTGATCAAACACTTTGCCGAAATGAACTCGTAGCCGTTCATTTAACTTTCTTGAACTTTTTCCCATGAAAGTCACTGCTTCTACAAACTGACATATCCCTATAGTTTCCATAACACCCGCAGAGCAGGATGGAGGCTTTTCAGACAGTGGACACCTAATTGAGCCCATGCGGCAGTAACCATTGAACAAGTTGGAGAGAAAATTCAGCTTTTAAAACGAAAACTGCAGCCAAAACCAAGAGTAGTATTAGTAGAACGTAGTGTATGAAATGGAGCAGAGTATCAAAAAAGTATCACCAAGCATCGAAATAAATGCTCAAAAAACCCGCATTTAAGTTTTAAAAAATGATATAAAAAATGAAACAAAACATCCTTGCAGAGCATCATTTACACACATGCATGCTTAAATAAAAACAATGCGATTATGCAAAAAAAAAAAGGATGCTTGATGAAAATCCGCGAGCTAGTAGTTACGTTTAAGCCTATTTGCGCAGCATAGCTTTAAAAATATAGACTGTAGCTAAATCAGGTAAAGATAGCGTAACATGCTTAAACATGTCAACATAGGGACTTCTTAAACAAGGCCGGAAATTTCGCGCAAAAATAAATAATAGACAGATGAGTTCTGTCAGTTATGCTGAAATATCACCAACGAAGCATAAACTCAGCTTGCGTAAGGAATGCGATTATGCAAAAAAAAACAATGCGATTATGCAAAAAAAGGATGCTTGATGAAAATCCGCGAGCTAGTAGTTACGTTTAAGCCTATTTGCGCAGCATAGCTTTAAAAATATAGACTGTAGCTAAATCAGGTAAAGATAGCGTAACATGCTTAAACATGTCAACATAGGGACTTCTTAAACAAGGCCGGAAATTTCGCGCAAAAATAAATAATAGACAGATGAGTTCTGTCAGCTATGCTGAAATATCACCAACGAAGCATAAACTCAGCTTGCGTAAGGATAGCTTTTCTCACTGCAAAACTGTTTTGGACGAAGAAAAACATATTATCAGCCAACATATTTCAAATAGCTTCTCCATTTGAAATTTTTTTTTCAAATAGAAAAGCCTCGAACAACCTCAATTGCTCATCCAATGAAACAATTTTTACGGCTCTCTTAAAGACCATGCAAAATCGCAACAAAATTCTATCAATTTGAATATATTGGCAATTACCAAACTACCAGGCTGACCAAAAGGTAACCAATAAATTCTTCTGGAAAAAGGGCCAATTATTTGTAGAAAACCTATCGGAAACTTTTTTCCGATGTGAGCTGCATAATTTCAAAATATTTTCGCCAAAAATTAGTCGAACTTGTGATTTTTTAGACCCATGAAATTAACTGCTGAGGAATAACTAATGTAGAGATTAACTAGTATCGGCTTGTACATTGACTTGATTGAGAAGACGCTTAAAAATCTAGCCTGAAGCAGAAAAAAGCTAAATTGGCGTTATTTGCATCCTTGCAAGATTTATTATTGTATCTGAAATTTTTCTGATCGAGTAACAGAAATCGAAAGAAAAATAGAAATCGATATTTAAAATTTTTCTGATCGAGCTACAAAAAGTTTCCAAATAAGTTAAATTAAGAATGAATTGCTTGCTCTGATATATAAAAAAGTGAAGTCAAAAACAGTTGGAAAAGAGTCAATGAACGATTGGAAACAAAAAAAACAATGACTTAATTTGAAGAAAAAAAATTCGTACTTCAAAGAAAAATATAGGGCCTTAACGCTTTTTGAACTTTAGAAAACACTTGTGCTGGAAACTTTTTTTGATAGCATTACCTGAAGGAGAAACTGGATCCATAAGTAAGTTTTTTTGTTCTGCTGGGAAATCTGAAAATTAAAATCGACTTTTGAAACTAGACGTCAATAACGTTTTTTGTGATCTTTTAACTTTTGCTTTCCAAAAAACTGCACTTCAAGAAAAATCAAATTTGAGCGTGCTTAAATTTTATGACTTTTTCCTGAAAAAAAAATCATCACGACACAATCTACATAAGAGTCTTCACTACGTTCATTGGCTCTTAATAAGTGTAGAAAAACATTTTAAATGAACAGGAAAAACTAAAATAACTATACTGTTTTAGCAAAAAGCAACAAAAATTTTATTAAGTGTTTGACATAATTTCACAACCTACAAAAATAGTATCATCTTTCAGATACACAGGACCATCATGCGTTTCAGATTTGTGGATTTGATCATGCGGTAGGAGCTGCGCCAGCCCATTTTCCGGAGTATATTCAATAGTTTTGGCTGGACGTTGAAAACACGGAGAATTGTTTGTTCTGAACATGAGTTTATGATGTTTCTTTTCCGATTTTGAGGTTTGATCGAACACTCGAAAAACAATTACTCCGTTAAAAGGATAGTCGAGTATATCGTCCATTTCAGATCTGTAACACTGAATAAACATGCTTAGACTTTTTCCTTTTCCCTTTCCAGTGCCGTTTAGAAATACACGTAGACGGAATTCATGTCCGCTGGGGGTTTGAAAATGAGACGACACAATTGACATTTTCTCTACATCGCTGGTGGTCTGGTGTAGTTTTAATAGGCGATCGTAGTCCTTAATCCTCCAGTTCAATTTTCCGTCCGTTCTCATTCGGTGTTTTTTCTCGGTTATCTTTGATTGTAAATCTAAACTCAAGCAGATTTCGATAGCAAATCCTATAAATTTGGGATCAAGTTAACAGTCTCCTCATTGCTAAATGACACATGCCCTTATCAGAGTCATGGTAAAAAATTAAGTGGAAAATGAAAACTTTTCCGCAGGTCAACCATCTCCCTCCCTAATTTTCTGACCATCTCTCGGGTAGGATTTCTCATTCGAGCCTTTTCAGTCGCAATTTCAGAAAAAAATCGGTGCTGAACCCTCTCCTCCTACTTTTTGAAAACCCACGAAAATATTGGAAAATGAGAATGATTTAAATTTTTTTTACAAGGAAACCTGTGGTCGAAACAATCTGTGCTAATTGTAGAGCAAGCGGCGTCTTAATTTTTTCTTTCCAAAAGTATCTTTTGAAAAAAACTGCAATCATGCCTAAGAAAAATATCTTCGAAAAACCATGCTAAAAACAATAGCCATTTTTTAACTATAAACTTTTAGAAAACGATGAGCTTCGCGACTAATTTTTCTAGGTGAAAACAAAGATCACCAGAAAAAGAAAAATTGCATGATCAAAACGTCAATATTTATAGGGCATTTATCGATTTGTATTTATATATGTTAAATACAAACGAATATCAATTGGGCCGCTGAGTCTTGCCTAAGATCGGACATCAACGGGGCAGCACAACAGTGCCGAAAATGAAAAGGTGTTCAACAGTGCCGAAAATTGATGATTTTCGGCACTGTTGAACGATAATTTTATTTTCGGCACTGTTGTTCTTCGGCACTGTTGTTCTTCGGCACTGTTGAACGCCCCTCTAAGGGCAGCACAACAGTGCCGAAGTACCACAGTGCCGAAAATAAAATTATCGTTCAACAGTGCCGAAAATCATCAATTTTCGGCACTGTTGAACACCTTTTCATTTTCGGCACTGTTGTACTTCGGCACTGTTGAACGCCCCCGACATCAACAAATCACAGTTGAACTCAATTGTGCTGTCAAATAATACTCTCGTTTAGTAAAAGTAGAACGTTCATCAATTTTAGAAACAAAAACAGATTTTCTCGGTTCTCCGAACTAATTGAAAACTGCCCGCCCAAACCGCATCAAAAACTGCTCCCGTAGCACTCGAGAGTAATCAGGACTGAAAAAAGGAGGCTTTTTCGCGAACCCTGGCATCGCCACAGTCACTAATTTAAAGACGAGGCGAGGGTCAAATCAGTCTCCGTAACTAGGAATTGTAGAGAACTGAAAACAACTTAAAAAACACGAATGTGAGCTGTACACAAAATGATAGCTGTGAGCAGCTACTAACAGCAACATGTAAAAACAGATAAATTTTTCGAAACAAAGCATATCATTAACTTACCCAAAATTCTCTTTTCATACGAATCTTTATCTCTCGAATTTTGCATTTTGTGCGCTTCAATTGTCGACTGCATGAGTAAAAGTTCATTACATAGTACAGTGACTGCATCATCTACATCTTTAAGCATGGTATCTTTCAAAGTATTTCGAGTGTCTTCAGTCCCCGTATTCGTACCTTTTCCTCTATGTTTTTCCTCCAATTTTCTTACACGAGCACTCAAATCGTTATATTTTGTTACGACCTGCTTAGTCATAATTTCATTCATGTTCGTTTTCTCGTGCAGGGCTTCTACTTCTGCGTAGATGTGTAGAATACGTTGCAAGTCTTCTCCGTCGAAAACACGACTGAGCTGTTCCACGAATGTAGGGTCCTGAGGATTGGAGTCGTTTAAATTCATGTTACCCATTTGCTAAAATAGAAACAATGACACCGAATCGAACAGCTGATATATATTTAATTTCCCATAGAAAAATTAAAGTGATGATTATAAAAAAAATTGACAGTGTTATGGAAAATAATTATCAAGCAAGAAATGTTCGGTTTATCTTAAATAAGGTTGAGTAAATATTAGGAAGGCCAGGATTAGTTTTCTATAAATAATAAATAACATGGTTAAATATAATGACGTTATTATGTATTTTTCGTCATAGACCAAAGATGAATAGCTTTCATTTACTTATATATTGTGGTCAAATATCTGTTGAAACCATTCATAAACAGTCTGCAACAAGATGCTGAACATTATTTTTATTTTTAAGCGTTTCGATGGATCGCTTTTGAAAAGCACAACTGTCGCAAAATTGTTGTTTTTCGAACACTACACATTAAGTTCACAAATACTTCAAACCACGCTTAAGTCAATTGACGAAAAGAAAACAATCTGCCAACTTTGCTGCTCGACAATTTTAATAATATTGTTAGTTGTTTGTCCATTTGAGACTTGATTCTTCCAAAAAAAAGGAGTGAAAACAACGGCATTCTGCTGTATAAGAATGTTGACTGGATGGTAGGATTGAAAAAATGACCTAGCGATGAATTCTAGAATCCATGTCAAGTCAAGGCAGTCTCTTAAACAAATGATTCACTTTGCAATTGTATAAATTTAATTCGGGCATATTGTTCCTGGTTGAAAGATATTCTAATTCTAGCATATGTAAGATTGGGCATTGAGGGAAAATTTATTTCCAAAAACTTGTTGTTTGAGTATTTTTAAAAACTTTCTAAAATGGCGCACAGACAATTCAGCCAGTTTTCAAAAGACTAAATTTAAAAAAAAATCAGAGATAATTCTCGGTTTAAGGTAGCTGGTAGGCGCGCGTCGCCGCAGTTTCCGGTGCTTCTGTAGGCAAAACGCGACTACAGCGTTCATTATCAAAAAATTTAAAAAAGCAGTTCTAACTTTAGTTACAAAATTAATCTTTTTTCGGCACTTCCAATCATATTGGCTGAATTGTCTGTGACTGAATTTTCAGTTTAATTTTGGCTGAATTGACTGAGTTTCATATCGCCTGAATTCGGTCCAGAAGCGTAATAAAATAAAGCAATAAACTCTATATAAACATTTTCAACAAGTATTCATAATATCAAAAAATGAAATTGGTGAAAACAACGTGGTCCTAAGTAATTGGCTTAGAAACAGTTTATTTTTCTAGAAAATTGAATCGCAGAAAAATTACACAATATAATCACAAAGGCGTAATTGCCTTTCGAACACACAGGCAGAAAACAAATTAACACACAAAAACTATTCAAAAAATATTTGAAGCTTACTAAAATTCAACTATGCAAAATTCTGCCCACACCTCATTCTAACTCTCAATAAAAGGAACATCAAGTCTTTCAGCTGCATGATACGAAAAACTATTCCGCATCCAAAATGTATTGAAACCGTAGTACTGGTATGATAAAAACATAATAATGGTATGAAGTTCAGCAGTACTGAAGGTTAGTTTTGACAAAAAATCATGCTCATTTTTTCCGTCAAAATCCAAAATAGTTTTGATTGCGCTAATGTCTGATAGTGTAATGACGAAACAAATTAGTATCAAGTTTAACGAAGTTTACATCGTAACTCCACCCCAGCTAAACCAAGATTGATTAGCGCCTGGCACAGCAGGGGGCTGTTAAATTGGTATCATCAATAAATTTTAATGTGCTCAAAAACTACTGCCCCTTAATTTCTCCCATTCATTAACGCATAAAGTTGTATTATTCCTTTACTAGCGCATGACTCGCACCTACGGTACTTCAAATAAATAGTTGAGCGTACAAATCTTCTTAAAACATATACAAAAACAGCGATAATTCATGCAAAACTTAACTGGGCTCATCCATAAGGGGTTTCTTTTTCATTAATTAAGTGATTTATTATAAAAAATTAGTTTTTTTTTACCAAAATGTTTTCATTTTCCAAAACTAGTGAAATTTATCAGATATGTGAGCATTTTTAGATTTTAAAACTAAAAAAGACCCCAAACAACATTATAGAACTACTCTTTTCGTATTGTTTTTAAAAAGCTCAAAAGTTTCAACATCAAAAAAAATTGAAAAAATTGAAAATCAGACAACGCCATATCTCGGAAACCAAAACAGCACGTTAAGGGGATTCTTAAAGAGCCGCAATTTTTGTTTCAAAAACATCGAAAGGTTTAATTTGCTTTACCGCACCCTGTGTAAATCGTGTGAGGGATGTGAACGCGGCGGATATCCACTGACGTGGCTCCTACTCCCACTGCTACCAGGGTTGCTGGACGAGCTGTGGACTGCATAATCCGTGTCCAGAGAATCTCCGGACTCCATGTCCACCGCGTCCATCGTCAAATTAGACGACATTTTGCTGCTTCAGTCGGTTAATTAAGAAGCGAGACAGATATATTCAGTTTCTGAAGGGTTTTTTCACGGTAGAAAATAATTCGCATTAATTGTAGAGTCACTGAGGCATCTGAAAACATAATATTCTGATTAGATACATGAGATCCTCATTTGTTTTTTGAGTTTCTTTTGAGGGGGGAGCAGACGTACACAGATGAGCTCTTCTGATCCCACAAATACGCTAACGTCAACATTATTATCTGGGCTCTCAAATTTCTTCAATTGGCGATAGCCACGCTTGCATCATACATCCTTATAAGCTTAGAAATACGAAACTCACATATCATTAGTATCCTGTATTATGGAATATATCCTGTTTTATTGGAATCACTGATTTATTTTATAAATTACAAAGCGGACTGCAGAAAAAATTGATCATGGTTTGCTAGCCTTTATAATCACATTTGAAAAATATCAGCCAACACTTTCAAATCCCTAATAAATTTTCCTTGATAAAAGAAGAAAACTGAATATTCATGCTTTGGTGTTTGTTTTATTCAGTCAATTTTCGGCGATCGAAATAGTTTTTAGCCCCATTGAACACATCGACTCCCTGTAATCAAATGAAAAAAATTTTACTTCCGATCATTTTTTTGCTAAGTTTTGGGAGTTTAAAAAAATAGCCAATTTAGTGGCCAATATATGAATTAAGGGGCAGTCGGGGCATTCAGGGTCCTGATATACGAGCTCCATTTCATTTGCGAGGGAAAATCAGTGTGTTTTGATAGAAAAAACGAGCCAAGTTTAACATCCTCCTCATCTAAGCCGTTTATGGCGAGGATGGCAGATTACTCTGAGTTCGAAATTTCAGCCAATCAGAATTGATCGTTTTACACGCAGCGTTTGGCAAACTTAATTCAAATTGAACGCCGGGGTGGAAGATCTTAACTTGGTTTATTTGGGGTGGGGAAATGTGAACTCGAAAAAACATTTACGTACATGTCTTCATTCCATGTTAACGATGCAAGTAAAAGCGCGTGATATTTTGTGAACCATAAACAAATATAGACGCACATGCAAACTGTATAGAAAACTGTATAGAAAACTGTAGTCTAAAATAAGCACAGTCTAAAATAAGCTAGCTTTATTTTATGTCTTTCGCTCTGTCGCCATAACCATGAGCATTCTTCAGTATTCAAGCATAATTTTAACCAACCAGTTTTTACATCAAGCATGGCACTGATCAAGCAACTCTGTTGCAAGTAAGAGCTCGCATAAAAATAGGCTCAATCATTGTCTATTTACCTAAACTAGAAGCTATAAAAACTAAATGCACTTTCTCTTAGTAAATTAGTTTGAGTGCCGTTTTTTCTCTTCTCTGGAGCAAATCATCTCTACAACTACCCTAAGCCAGACTGCTCGTATCACGTCACGGCACAGCCATCAAAGTTGCCACAGCCTTTTAAGCTATACGGAGTAGTGTTTGCTTCAAAAAAACTAGCACATGATTCGCACCTACGGTAGATTGTTGAACGTGATGTACGTTTCCCGATAAAATTACATTAAAAAACAAGACATTTAATACAACCATAAATTTAACTTGGACCCATCAATTAGGACTTTCCATTTCATTAAGTGAACATTTTAAAAAGTTCTATTTTAGGTTATTTATTACACAAATGCCCATATCTCCGAAACTAATGAGTTTTATCAGTTTTGAGACACTTCAAACTCAAAGAACACTAAAAATCCAACAGCAAACTCATACTTCTTTCATATCTTTTTTACTTGTTTACTTAAGTAGTTTACTGTACAGCTGGAAAAATTACTGAAAATAATATACATTGGAAATTAAAACTGAGAAGTTCAATTAGAAGCCAAACTTGCAACCTCTAGGAGTTGCTTGACGGGACCACAATACATGGTTGGAATTTTTTGGTCAGTTTTTAAAATCTATGTTTCTTAAAGAACAAATATTAAAAAGTTTCAATCAGTCAAATTTGAAGGCCATACATGCATTCCCTGCATGTATCCTGAAAGCAGCCCACCATAAGGTTGAGAGATTCAAATTCTGTTCGTTTTTTCAAATCTAAATTTTTTGAGAAAAAATGAGAAATCTATAAGAAACTTCATCTCGTAAACCAGAAGTATTTGAGCAACCATAGTAACCAACTCCTTGACGTACCCTGGGAGCACTCCGCTATAGGGTTGAGTCAATATAGGTAATTTAAAATGCGTGATAATATATTATGTGGGATAATTATTAATAAGGGATAATATAGGTAATTTAAAAATTGGACTGTGGCTCTATAAAAAATATGAGTGAAAATTTTGTGATTTTGAAATTTTCCAGGAGACATTATTTTTCGTGTAAAATTTATGACGTAGCATTTTATGCACGGAGGCTTCCCACAACCTAATGCTTCGACTGAACCCTTGATATCAGATTGAGTTGTTTTCGAGAAAGTCAAGAAGTTTCGAAAAACGGTCAAAAAATCAAAAAAAAAACTGACTTTTTCGAGGGTAATAACTTTATGTAAACAAGTTTGGGCGTAACTGCTTAAGCAGGGGAGGGAGTTTTGCAAAAACAGTTCTACCCATTGAAACCAAAATCTCAGATTTGCGAGAGTAATTTATGAGAAAAGTCAATAAGTTTCAAAAAATAGTCAAAGAATCAAAAGTTTGACTTTTCTGAGGGCCATTGAGCAAAAAAGCTTGGACAAAGCTGGTTGGGCAGAAGAAATTCCCACAGCCTGTTCTATCCGTTGAACCCAAAATCTTAAAATTGGGAGGATAATTTTCGAGAAAAGCCAAAAAGTTTCAAAAAACGGTCAAAAAATCGCAAAACTGACGTTTCTGAGGGTCATTATTTTATGTGTAAAAAAATTTGGGCGTAACCTTTAATGCAGGGGAGTCTCGACAACCCGCTCAACCAATTGAAATTAAAATCTCAGAATTGGGAGGGCAGTTTTTGAGAAAAATCAAAAAGTTTCAAAAAACGGTAAAAAAATCGCAAAATTGACTTTTCCGAGGTTCATAACTATTTGTATTAAAAAATTGGGCGTTACCGCTTATGCAGTGGAACTTTCCACAACCCGTTCTTCAAACTGAAAACAATATCTCAGATTCGGAAGGGTAGTTTTTGAGATAGTCAAAAAATTTCAAAAAAAGTCAAAAAATCGATTTTACAGAGAGTCATAACTTTTGCGTAAAAAATTGGGAGTAACTACTTGTGCAGGGGAGCTTCTCACAACCCGTCCTACCTATTGAAACAAAAATCTCAGGTTTGGGAGTGTAGTTTTCGAGAAAATTCAAAATGTTTTAAAAAATGTTCAAAAAATCAAAAATTCGACTGTTCTGAGGTCCATAAACTTTGTTTTAAAAGATTTGGGCGTAACCGCTTATGCAGGAGAAATTCCAACAACCTTTTCTATCCGTTGAACCCAAAAACTTAGATTTGGACGAGCAGTTTTTGAGAAACTTGAAAATCCGAAAATTTGGATCGAAAATTCCCCCCACACTTTTTCGAAGGCTGTAGGAAGTGGGGTAAGGTAAAAAGAGACTAGGGATTTATGCAGACACATAGGGTAGTGGGCTACCCTATGTAACACTTTTTTGAAAACCGGTAGAGTAGTTTTTGAGAAAAACGAAAATTTTCCAAAGCGGCGTCTAAAAAAAACAAAATAAAACCACCCGATCCCAATGACACTTTTGGAGATCCCAATGACACCCAATCCCAATGACACAGAAATGTTTGGAGAAACAATCATAAAAACACGCCATATCTCGAAAAGCAGACGAATTTGAGCAGTAATATTTGTAAACTCCTGAGAGTTCCCTGATAGCATCTCACTATAGGGTTGTGATTTTTAGTTTTTTATATCTTTAGAAAACTTTAAAAATAATTAAAAACGCCATATCTCGAAAGTCAAAAAAATTTGAGCTGTTAAATTGAGAGGGAACAATTGCAATCCATATTGTACGCTGAGATGAGAGCACTCAGCCATAGGGTTAGAAGTTTGAAGTCCTTTTAAACTTTTTAATCTAAATTTTTTGAAGAAAAAATTTGAAAAAATCAGAACGATTTGAGCAGTAAATTTAGAGATCAGATTCGCAACTCCTGAGAGTAGTCCATAGCTCTTCCCCATAGGATTGAGATTTTAAGTTGTCTATTTTTATTTTAAAAAATTTATTACAAAACTTGAGAAAATAATAAAAAAACGCCAGATCTTGAAAACCAAAAGGAATTGAGCAGTCATAGTTGAAGGGCAGAACTGCTACACCTTAGAGTACCCTGAAGGTACCCCAACATAGGGTTGAGAATTTCAAGTTAAGTAATTATTTTATAAATCTTTGTTTTGTTGGACAAAAAAATCATAAAATCCTCATACCTCGGAAACCAAAAACATATGAGCAGTAATATTAGGAGGCCAGATTTACATCCCCTGAGTATATGCCATAGCAAACCACGCTTCAACGTTACATAATAATCCTTGACCTTGAAATTAAAAACGTTGAATTCTATAAAACATATCAAACGTGGCAAAAAATTTTCATTTTATTAAACGTCATCATAGGATTTCTTAAACATGTGTCAAGTGAAACACCAATTAAATAATGTATAGACAGATGGATGATAAAATTTTCCAAAAAACCGGAAACTTTTGATTATTATTTGGAATTTTTTTTTATAGTTTTTTTTTGTGAAAATCGCTATGTGAAGTACAAAGTGATTACAAAGGGATATATTTAACACCTAGCAAAGTATTAAATAGATCAAATAGCATATCTCAATTCAATTCTGAAGTATTTCTTAGACGAATTAAGTTTCCGCATAGCTCAGGACAACAATATTGGATAAAACGTACAATAGCCCCCTTCGATCAATTTAGTGAGAGAAAGTACGAACTTTTGATAAGATAAGTTTGAAGAGAATGTTATATCAACCACATATCATATTTATTTAACGAAACAACTAAAAGATCAATTAAACTGATTTTGTAGCCCATGAAAAACCAAATTGTATAAATAATTACAAATTGGATAAGTTTAGCGCATTGGTATGAATACGTTTGGAAAAGTTTTGCGCATTCGCTATAAAGAACTAATTATCAAAACTGGCATCCGACCGACTAGGCAACCGTGAAACTCAGAATTTTAGTTGCCTAATGTGATACTTATGTTAGAGCATGTGACTTTGACCAGTTCGGCTGTAGAACGGAAGTGACGAACCTTGCTGTTCAGACCAAGGAAGTATCGTTTTAAACAGGGGCGAAGTTGCACTTCGCATACACAAGCAAACATATGACCGATAACGCTACTGGGCAAAAAGAATGAGGAAGACTTTAAGTCTACAAAATTTCATAAGATAAGCACGCCAAATATGAGACTACATAATTGCTAAGTGACACAATTCAATTAAGACCCATTAGAAGTAGTAGGCAAATTGAAAAAAAGAAATGTACTAAATAACATGCCTCAATTTAAAGAGCGGACGCATTTTAACTAGTATACGAAAAAGTTCATTAAAAATTCGTGATACCTTGAAGCTTAAGTGCTTTTTGTAATATAATAGTCTGTTTAATATCCTTAGCATTGGCTCTACTTGACAGCTGGTTTTTGACCAAAATGAACACTCGCAAAATGAAAACATTGTATCGCAACAATAATAATTGCGTCGCAACAATATTTGCGACTTAGGGTCGAAAAAAGATAAACCATACTATAACATAAGCTTAGCTTATGTAATGAAACGGTGGTTATTCTTGCTAGCATTTACTAAGTTTCGTCGGTTAACCAATCCGTTCGAATTCAGTTATTGACAATGACCTCAAGAGACCGTAAGACAAGTTTGAGCCAACAGGCTTCAAGAAATCATTGAGTATCGCACCATTTTGGCAACGAGTATCAGCTGAACCACATTTAGAATCATCAAAATGTGTTGCCATTGAAAAAATTGCCTAATTTGCAAGAAAAACGCGATCGTGATAAGAAACCGAGATAAGAGATACCAGGAGCAAAGAGCTGACAGCTACAACAAAAGCGACCGTGACTAGTTTGACAGACAGGAACCAAAAAAATTTAATAAAATAAATGTGGTAGAAAAAGTCAAAACAAGAATAACCGCTTTCTTTGTAGGCAGGA